TCTGCTTAGGGAGAGGAGTTCTTCCTCTGTTCCAGTGTACAGTCCCTCCCATGGAGACAATTCTCCACAAACTTCTCCAATGGGAGTCCTTCCATGAGAGACAGGTCTTAATGAAGTGCTAAATGTGGGTGACTTTACCACAGGGTGCAGTCCCTCAAAAACAACCTGCTCCATTGTGGGTCCCCCACAGGGTCACAAGTCCTACCAGAAAACTTGCTCCAGTGTGGGCTTTTCTTTTCATGGGTCCACATGTCCTGCCAGGTGCCTGCTCCAGCACGGGTTTCACGGAGAATCACAGCCTTGTTTGAGCATGTACCTGCTCCAGCATGCAGTGCTCCATGGGCTACAGGTGGATCTCTGCTCCAGTGGGGATCTCCATGGGCAGAGGAGGAACAGCCTGCTTCACCACAGTCTTCACCATGGGCTGCAGGGCAATCTCTGCTCCAGCACCTGCAGCACCTCCTCCCCTTTCTTCTTCACTGACCTTGGTGTCTGCAGGACTGTTGCTCTCACATATTCTCACTCCTATCTGTTGCACAGGATTGCTTCCCCACCCCATCCCCGCTCTCCAACCCCTCCTAGTCTTAACTGTGTTATCCCAGAGGATCCATCACTGATGGGCTCAGCCGTGACCAGCAGGACATCCATCTTAGGGACAACTGGCATTGGCTCTATTGGACACAGGGGAAGTTTCTAGCAACTTCTCAGAGAGGACACCCCTATAGCCCCACCTCCTACCACAGCCTCGCCAAGCAAACCAAATAGGGAATGTTTAGGATTCCATAATTAGATCAGACTGCAAAACTTGTCATTAAGTAAACTGAATGTAGTTAAGATGAAGAACTCTTACTTTATTGCAAGCTGTTAAGCATGTTATGTTATGTAACAGCTTAAATGCAGCTGTCAAAAAGTGTATCCTCTGTTAAAAAATTATATGTACAGTGGCAAAAAGCTTGGCTAGTGATTTCTCTGAAGTTCTAACCTGGGTGTTTTATATACAAACACAAAAGAATCAGGCTTCTTCCAGTTTAAGTGGAGAAGTGAATAATTAAAACATTTTTAAGAGAGTGGAAATTGTCTGTCTTGGGAAATCATTGCATACTTCGTTGCTACTTGTTCTAAAACAAACCTACTGCCTCTTTACATTATCTTTAAATCACTGGGCAACACTCAGTAGTGTTCAGTGTATTTTACACCTTACTTGCCTGAAGTTTGCATTAGAGCCAGTAAAATAAAGGAGCACCACTTAATGTTCTGCTGAATCAAAGCTAATTAAGGATACATCTCTTCCATAGTTGAAAAGTGATATTGGAAAATACTGAGCTTCTCTAGCTGAATAAGAAGCAAAATTAGAAGGAAACTATGAATTCAAGGAATCCAAATGTGAGCTTTTTGCTAAATATTCACAAGTGCCTCTGTCATCAGAATCTGGGTTTGAGAATTCTTTGAAACATACCCAGACAATGTAATATTGCTTTTAACACTTTTCCAAATCGGATTACTTAGTATAAGTAAATTTTAAATCCACATAAACCTCATACTGTCTGATGTTATAGCCACTAAAAGCCTCAAAGAGTAAAGCAAACTGAATTGCTTCTTCAGTGTGATTCAGTCACAGCAAGTAGAAATAGTGGGCTGAGTAAGATGATCCAGGTCATTAAATCCCATCTCCCAAAGCCGCCAACAAGCACGTATCAGAGGTTCATCTGGCCAGACCCATGAAACATCAGTTCCAGAAGATGCAGACCCTTACACCTGCAGTGCAATGAGCATAGCCTTTAGTGTAAGAGATCGAAAGCTACAGTGTAATGAGGAAGCAGGCAGGAGAGTTCAAGGGCATTGCCTGTGTCTCAAGAGGGAATTTTTTAGGTGAAGTCATCCATGGTCTCCTTTTAGACTGAGAGAGAGAGGAATGGTGGATCAGGAGAACTGTCAGAGGGCACAGACAGTGTCATGTCCATTTTAGACCTCTTCCACATAAAGATTATGACAGAGATCAGGTCTCTTTCCCATGTGGCTTGAAAGAAGGAAGAGATAGAAGCTCAAATGCTGTCAAGCTTTTTTCCAGGCATGGAATGAATACAATGTCACCTTTCCCCATGGTTGTCCTTGGTTGCTCAGATACATGTGGAGTGACTGGGAATACCTGCTGCATTTTAAATTCACTTCATGCCATAATATGAATGAGCTCCTACGTGACAAGCCCAAAGATATGGTGAGAGTGGGATGAGTATGAGGTAATGCTTTAAGATGTTGAATCAAATGACACATTTTCTGAAATGTAGCCAAACACCCTATTTCGTTTGAACACGAAACAGAAGCAGCTCAGGGAAGTATTCTGCATTGGTCAAAGTGTGTCATGGTATGAAATGAGGACTGAAGAAATGGAAAACAGAAGATGAAAAAAAGCAAGCTATTTATAGAATCTGATTTCAGAAGCACCAAACAGGACCACTTTCTCAAGTGCTTTTCCTGAAAGGTATGATCCTGCAGCACTACCTGTGAGGCCATAAATATTTACTAGCACGTAGCAAGAAATGTTCAAATCCTTTCAGGAAGGAGACCCAAGAAATCATTGCTACCTGCCACAAATCAGCATGGCTTTGACTGAAAGCTGTGGAAGCTCTGCCTGTGTGTACATTGGCTGAGAATCGAGCCCTTCAAGTCAGTTCTGGGGGATTTTATACTCAACAGGCTTTACATAAGGCTTTTGTGATGGGAAAAATGTAAGAGTTTTTGAAATTTTGTCACTTCAGTAAATGAGAAATCAAGTATTTTATAGTGGTGGTACATGAGCCATTTAAGTAGGAAATCAGTTTTACAGCCTATACTTTTTTCCCACATGACATTTCTGATCTGTCATGCACAACTAACATGCAAGTGTACTGTGCTTGTGGTGCTTTTAGGCAAAAAACATTACACTGGTCCCAGCAAAAAGCCGAAGTTTAACAGTAAAAATATACATTTATTGCAGTTGTTTTGAGTTCTTCACCAAAAAGCTACAAGCCCTCAACAGCTTTGTTTGCCAAGTAGCTTTAAACTCTTGGGACTGACAGTTTCTAGTTTATACTCTTTTTATATATATTTGGCATTATCTCATCATGGTTCCAGGAAAAGACTGAAAATGGTGCCCTACTTTTCCCCTCTGTTTCACACCCTGGTTTTTCCTATATTTTACTTTAAGATTCTCTTTTGGCTTTGATCTGGGAAAACAGGATTTTCTAATAAACCTTCCTACATGTCTTTCACCAAATGCCTTCGGAATCACTGTGAATGAGGACACACAGGCATAAATCAGAGATGAATATGGTACCTAACCTTTACTTTTGGACATGCTTCTGATTATTTCAAATCTCATGTACTCTATAATTACTGTCTGAGAATGTGACACAGCTTCATCATAAGATGAAAGCAAAGTAATGTGAAGCCTAGAAACACATAATTTTTCTCCTTAACAAAACCCCAGCAAACAGCTAAAATACCTCCCTTATAAACTATGGGGCATAAAAGCTAGATTGAAAATCAATGTACTATTTATGTTTCAGTCATCAAGGTGTAGGTCAAGTGTGAAAGATAAAATCCAAGGTACCGGTTAGGTACTGGGCCTGCAGTCCAAGGACAATGAGATTTAATAGAACAATCTAAGAAACCCACATCTAATTGTCTACATATCTAAAATGTCGTGGACATCTAACATTCCTTGGTTTATGTGTACTAACCTGCTGCTCAGAGCACGATCTTAGGACAGTCCTATCAGGTTGCTTCTTCTTTGGTAGCGTTAAGTTCTGGTCCTTTGTATGCCCAGAGTGAT